ATTTCTTCCATAAAGATCTTACCTCTTTTAGATTTATTTCTAAGTATTTTATAGTTTCTATGAATACTTTAAATGGTGTTTTAAAAAAATTATTTGCTAATTATTTTTTTCTAGTATACAAACCTGAATTATTCATATATTTATGTATCTACCGTGTTTCCCCGAAAATAAGACAAGGTCTTATATTTATTTTTCCTCAAGAAGACACCCTAGGGCTTATTTTCAGGGGATATGTTATTTTTTTTAAGTATGGTATAACAATCTCCATTTATTCAAATATAGTTAAGTCATCTTCTTCTGGAACATCATCATAACTCTCCAAACCCTGAATTCCAACCTGAATTTTTTGTGACTCTATTTCCTTTAGAACCATTGGCCCCAATCTCTCATGTCAAGCAATAGAGCTCTCATGGGACAGATGAGAAGGGCTGCTCGTTTTCTTTACGGTTTTGCGATGAAATGCATGGGTTGTGCAGATACGCTGCATAGCCACGCCCATTACTAGGTCTTATTTTCAGGGTAGGGCTTATATTGCACAAATGCTTGGAAATCCTGCTTATTTTATGGGTAGGTCTTATTTTCAGGGAAATACAGCATCTATCTATCTAATGTATTCAGAATCTCTTGAATTCTTATTTACTAGTTATAATGGAAATTCGTTTGGATTTAATCTGTGGACAATCCTATCATTGGCAAAAAAAGAAAATTTAGTGTCTTCTTTTTCCCATCCCTTTACTTTTTCTATTTCATGTTTTGCTGTGCTAATGAGGGCCTATATCTAGTGTAATTTATAAAAACAAAAAAGGGGATAACAGCTATCCTTGCTCTATTACTCTTGTTAAAGGAAATCCTTCTATTTTTTTTTTTTTTTTTTTTGAGACAGTCTCGCTTTGTTGCCCAGGCTAGAGTGAGTGCCGTGGCGTCAGCCTAGCTCACAGCAACCTCAAACTCCTGGGCTCAAGCAATCCTTCTGCCTCGCTCCTGAGTAGCTGGGACTATAGGCATGCACTACCATGCCTGGCTAATTTATATATATATATATATATATATATATATATATATATATATATATATATATATATTTTAGTTGTCCAGCTAATTTCTATTTTTTTAGTAGAGACGGGGGTCTCGCTCTTGCTCAGGCTGGTCTCGAACTCCGGAGCTCAAAAGATCCTCCCCCCTCGGCCTCCCAGAGTGCTAGGATTACAGGCATGAGCCACCACACCTGGCCATCAATTTTTAATACATACCCTTTTCAAGTTAAGGAATTTCCCTCCTGTTGCTATTGTGCTAAACTTTATTATGTAAAAACATTGAATTGTTGTTGAATGACTTTTCTGCATCTATAAAATTATACCATCTTCTTTAATGTAATAATATAGTGATATATATTAATAGCTTATCTAAGTTTAAACTATTTTATTCATGTTGCTCATTGTATTATTTTTAAAAGCATTGCTAGATTTGCTAATATTTTATGATTTTTGCTTCTATGTTCATAAATGAGAGTGGCCCTCAATTTTCCTTTCTCATAATATCTTTCTCCAGCTTTAGTTCCAAGATTATATTAGCCTTATACAATAAACTGAAGCATGTTTTCCCTTTTAATATTCTTTGGGAAGATTTGTATACTATTGAGACAATCTGCACTTTGTATACTTAGTAGAACTCTACTGTAAAACAATACAGGTCTAGGAGAGTTTTAGGGGATAGATTTTGAAATACTTATTAAGTGTCTCTGATGATTCTAAGTTGATTCAAGTTTTTGGCTTCATATTTACTTGATTTTTGTAGGTAACAGTTCCCATGAAATTGTCCATTTAAGCAAAGTTGAAAATGAAAGTATTACAATGTCCTTGGCTTCTTTTATGACTTTTTAAAATCTTTGATCTGTAATTATGTTTCCTTTTTCATTTTAATATCATAAACTTGTGCCATATCTCCTTTTCCCTGATCTGTCTTACCAGAAATGTATACCTAATTGGGTTCTTCAGAGAACCTGCTTTTGGTTTTATGCTCTCTGCTAATTTACATAATATCAAAATTTCCTTCTTTCATCTTTAATGTTTTCTTCCTCCTATTTTCATTGGATTTAGTTTTTTTCTAACTTCTTGAGTAAGATGCTTAACTCATTTTTGGTCTTTTTCAATATAAATATTTAAGGCTATAAATTTCCCTCTAATAATTGCTTTAGCTGCTCCCGTTTTAAAATTATTTTTATTAAGATAAAATTCACATACCATAAAATTCATACTTTGAAATATTCAATTAATTCATTGGTATTTTAGCATATTCCCAAGGCTGTACAACTATCACCATTATCTAATTTCAGAACATTTTTATCGCTCCAAAAAGAAACTCCAAAATGGAGTCCCCATCCCTCTCTCCCCATCCAGCCCTTGATCACCACAAACATACTTTCTCTCTCTCTCTGTGGATTTCATATATATAAATGGAAGCATTCAATATGAAATTTTTTGTGTCTTGACTTCTTTCACTTAGCATAACATTTTCAAAGTTCATCATATATGGTAGCATGTAGCAGTACTTCATTTCTTTTTGTAACTGAATATTACATTACATACATATTAATAGTATGGATATACTATTAAATATATTTTGTTTATTCATTCATCCAGCTGATAGACATATCAGCCAAAGGAGTTGTTTCCACCTTTTGGCTATTATAAATAACACTGCTGTGAGCATTCATGTTGTGTGAACATGTTTTCAGTTCTCTTGGAATATATACCTAAGAGTGGAATTGCTGGGTCATATAACTCTGTGTTTAAATTTTTGAGAAACTGCCAAACTATTTTTCAAAGCACCATTTTACATTCCCACCAGCAGTGTATGATGATTCCAAATTTTCCACATCCTCTCCAACTCTTGTTATTGTACCTCTTTATTATAGCCATGCTAGTGGGTATGAAGTATCATCTTATTGTGGTTTTTATTTGAATTTCCCTAATATGTAATGATGTTGAGCATCTTTTCATGGGCTTATTGGCCATTTGTGTATCTTCTTTGGAGAATATGTGTATTCACATTTTTTGCCCATTTTCTTTTTTTTTTTTTGAGACAGAGTCTCACTCTGTTGCCCAGGCTAGAGTGCAGTGGCATCAGCCTAGCTCACAGCAACCTCAAACTCCTGGGCTCAAGTGATCCTCCTGTCTCAGCCTCCTGAGTAGCTGGGACTCCAGGCATGCACTACCATGCTCAGCTAATTTTTTCTATATATTTTTAGTTGACCAATTAATTTCTATTTATAGTAGAGACAGGCTCTCACTCTTGCTCAGGCTGGTTTCAAACTCCTGACCTTGAACAATCCGTCCACCTCAGCCTCCCAGAGTGCTAGTATTACAGGCATGAGCCACCACACCAGGCCTCCATTTTTATTTTTTTATTATTACATTGTAAGAGTTCTTCATATATTCTGAATACTAGACCCTTATCAGACATATGACTGGCAAATATTTTCTCCCATTCTCTGTGTTGTCTTTTCACTTTCTTGGTAGTTCCTTTGAAGCACAAAGGTTTTTAATTTTAATAAAATCTGATTTATCTATTTTTTCTTCAGCTGCTTGAGCTTTAGGAGTCATATCTAAGAAACAACTGCCTAACCTACATCACTTCCTCATGTTTTCAAATAGGTTATTTATTATTCTACTCTAAATATTTTTTTTGCCATGATTTCATATTTGATCCATGAGATAATTAGGAAGCCTCCTGTGCCCCCATGATCCTTTCTTTTATTATTTATTTCTCAGCTTTAACGTTACTCCTATCCCAGGCCTATGACCTCCTTTGACCATTAAAACCTAACCCTCCAGATTATCAAAACTAACACTCCACTCTCTAACCCCTCAATACAGTGCAGCTTCTGCTTGAGCCTGCCAGCTAACTACTTTGTATTGTTTCTTTTTCCTGGGCACCTCCCTTACTTTTTTTTTTCTTTTTCTTTTTTTGAGACAGTCTTACTTTGTTGCCTGGGCTAGAGTGAGTGTCATGGATGGCATCAGCCTAACTCACAACAACCTCAAACTCCTGGCTCAAGTGATCCTCCTGCCTCAGCCTCCCAAGTAGCTGGGACTACAGGTGTGAGCCACTACACCTGGCTAATTTTTTGTTTCTATTTTTAGTTGACTGGATAATTTTTTCTATTTTTAGTAGAGACAGGGTCTCGCTCTTGCTCAGGCTGGTCTTGAACTCCTGACCTCAAGTGACCCTCCTGCCTTGGCCTCCCAGAGTGCTAAGACTTACAAATGACCTCCCTTACTTTCTTACAAGCTCAAATATGTATTTATGTGTTCTAGGTGTTCACTGTGTCGTAGGTGTTGTAACCATGACCTCGTTTACTGCTTTTTCTTACTAGGTATTTTGGCTTGTCTGACCATCACTCCCATACCACCCACTCCCAAAGACCAAGTGCTCTGTCACTGTGTTTCACACTCAAACTCCCAAGAGGTAAAACATAATTGATGTAGTTAATCCTTATTATCTCAGTTGGACAAATCTACTACATCCAGCCATTCCCTAGGCTCTGAGCCAGACATTTAGCAACTGTGGGTCAAGTGCTATTCCATGACCCAATGGGCTATATAGTGAGGGTGATGGGACCACACAGCTTTCTTCAAAATGGGCTGTGCATATGGCAGATGCTCAAAGCAAAAACAGTTCTATTGCAGAAGAGATCAGAATGGCTCCTTCCATAATGACACACTCGGGGATTGAAACAGTTGAACAGGCTTGGGTTCAAATACTGCCTTAGCTACTTACCATCTTGTATTGCTTTGGATAAGACACAACTCTTCTAGTCCCTAACTTCCTTATTAACAACAACAACAAAAAGAACACAGTGCACTTACTGCCTAAGGATATTGGGAAAAGGAAATGAAGCAACCTATATACTTAGCACAGTGCCCGGCACATAGCAGGCACTCAACAAAAGTTTGTATTAATGCTCACGTTCTCTCTTTCTTCCAATGTCTCCCACCCAGTATTGTGATGACTACCTGCTCCACCTTCTTTGCCCTGGGCATGATGCCTCTCCTTTTGTACACCTACTCCAGAGGGATCTATGATGGGGACCTGAAGGACAAGGTGCCCTATGGAAACATCATGATATCACTGATCCTGGTCCTCATTCCTTGTACAATAGGAATCTTCATCAAATCCAAACGGCCACAATATATACCCTATGTTAAGCAGGTAAGAGCCTGGGGGTTTGAAAACTTAGGGGAAAACAGTAAAAACATCATACACAACTATAAGGTATAATCATTATTTTAATAAAAATAAACTTTGGTATCATGCTCCTACTAGATGCTAAGTTTTATACTGTGCACTGAGGATTTACTGTCCCCAGAGTTTTGATATTTTCAGAAAGTAAAGTAATGCACAAGAGAAACAAGATCCAACACCAGTGTACAAGCAAGTATTGGCTGAATGCAAGATGAGATCAGTAAGGGCCAGGGTGGTCAAGGAGGCTTTTTAAAGGGAAAGGGCTTGAGCTGGATCATGAAGATAGAGTACAGTTTAGGTAAGCTTGGGGAGAAGGCTGAATAGGAGTTCAGAGTACCAAAGGCAAACTTGCCTGACTTGACAAGAAGCTAGAGGGAAAAGGAGGTGGTATACACACTCCCAGCATTTCGGGAGGGACGTGGGAGGTAGAGTGAAGTGAGTAAGGCCACTGAGGGTTTAGAGGAATATTATGGTCACAGACAGGGCATTATGCCACTGCCTTACCCTTGGAAGAATCCCAGACTCTTAGAACACAGCCATGGTTCCTCCACCAACTTTTTCCACCTTGCAGTTTAACCTCTGTCAGCCTCCCCTCTGGCTCACTGTTCATGCCCTGGGCCAGAAGTATATCCTGATCCTCAGGAGGAACTTCACTTTCTGACCTCCTGTTATCATCTCTGCCCCTGGATCAAAGTCTTTGGCATGGTCTACAGAGTGTGCTGCTTAGTAGACAGCAGCTTTGGGCCTGGGACAAAAAAGCTGCAAGTCAGGTTTTTGGGGAGTGGGGGAGGGTTATTTTCACACTACCATTGTCTTAAGGGCAATTTTTGCCCTTGCCCTGTCCCCACACCATGGCCGCAGCTCCCCTTCCCACCTCCTGGAAGACATGGACAAGTCATTCCTCCCTGTGTCCATGGCTGATCACCCATCCCCCGAACCCTGGAGTCCTGGCTATATCTCCTACCCTCTCACCCTTGCTTCTCAGAGACCACCTTTTATTGATTATGCCTCCTCCCCGTCACTCTCATTTTTAAAAACTTCTGTATTGGTTCTTTACAATCAGCATTGATAGAGGTTCACATTATCTTTAAGAAACAAATCCCTCAATGGGATTTTTTGTGGAATCCACCTCCCATTCCAGCTTATACCTCTCTTGGCTCCCCTTCCTATCCTAGCCAGGCTCAGAAAAACTCCCCATCGCCCTTCTGTCAGTTCACTTCCTTTTGAACACCTTCCACCTCCACCACGCCACCACAAGAACTCTCACAAAGGGCCAGGCCAACAATTAGCCTGTTAATTGAATCCCTCTCTCCTCTCCTCCTTGGTCTCCCACTTTCTCAGCATTTTGATGACCACATGCTCCACTTTCATTGCCAAATGCAATATTCTTCGATCCTTCCCCGACCTTTAGCAGAATTTGTCATAACTGACCACTGACTCCTTTCTTCTCAAAAGCTTTCTCCCTCAGCTTTGGTGACTTCAAGTGCTTCTGCTTTCCTACCACCTCTCAGATTCCTTTGTGAGTTCCTCTGGAAAGGTAACTACTCTACATTCAGAACAAGCTTTCCGCCTTTCTTGCCAGACTTCCCCCAGCCCAGAATCTCCCCATGGCAGGATCTGATCCATCTCAGGTCTGCACTACCGTCTGCAAGCTGATGGCTTCCACGACAGTATCATCAGCCCTCAACTCTCTCCTGACTCTGGGGTCCATTTATTGCCTGCTACATCTTTCTATCGCAGACATTTAGTATGTTTTTAAACTACTATCATCTCTTCCCCAAGCCTGCTCTCCCTTCTTCCCCGTGTGACTATCTCAGTGTCTGCCTCAACCAGAAACTAGAAAGTCATTTTCAACATACTGTTCTTTCTCCCCACTCACATCCGTCTGTGACCATCAATTAATTCCCCCTTCTGTTGCTTGAATCCCTCCATTCATCTCCCTCCTTAGCTGCACTATCTTCATTCAGGCCACTATCCTCTCTCACTAGACAGCTGAAACAGCCCTCTAACCTGACTCCCTGACCCAGTTTTAACTTGAGGGTAGAGATGTAAACAACAAATTCTATCATGTCACTCCACTGCTTAAAGCCTCTCATTGGTTCCTTACTCCCTCCAGGATAAAGCTTAAACTGCTTAATGTGGTGCCTCAGGCCTTTATTGCTCTCAGCTGACCTCACCAGTCTCAGCTCTCTTCTCGTTGCACAAGCCCTTTCCTTCACCTGGAACATTCTTCTCCTCAATTCCTATGTCACTTCACTGGGTCACTCCTACTCACCCTTTAAGTCTCAACACAAATATCACCTCCTCCAGGAAGCCTTCTTGAACCTGCCCTACCCCTGCAACAAGCCTGGGTAGGATGTTTGTCCTATTTGCTCCATAGCACCCAATGCCTGCCAACCCTTGTGGTGGTTATTACACTGTATTATAAATTACTTGTTCATTTTTATTCCCCACTCACCTGTTTCTCAGGAAGCAAGGCCATAAAGATATGTCTTGATTAACACCAAATCCACAGCACCTATCACAGTGACCTGAAAATAAATGAAGGGCAAATCCTGTCTGCTATCTGTCTATTCCACACATCAGCAGGAAAACAAAACAGAAACATGTTTGTGTCCATGATTTTATTTCAGATAGTTTATGTGATATATAGGAATTCTAAAAATCAGAATATAAAATGTGAAGTGACCCCCACTATCATTTAATGCAATTCTGCCCGCCCCTTTTTTATAGGTGGGAAAACCAGGGACCAGAATCCCAAGTTCACACTGCTAATGACAACTGATATGAGAACACATCTCCTCAGAGTAACCATAAAAGTGTTCTTTTGAGGATGCAAAGGCAGGATCTCAGATCTTAAAGCTGGAGAGGGCTTCAAGATCAAGTTCAGTCTCCTGCCTTATTCCCAATTTGCAGAACTGAGGCCCAGAAAAGTTACTTGGAAGAGCCAGTATTATCAACCAATCTCCTATTCCTGTTTTACACATTCACTACTCAATGCCACAGCGAAAATGGAGTCAAAATGACCCCAGAGAATATTAAAAGGGCTAAGAAATATTAATACTTGGGCTAGAAAGACAGGGAACACCAACAATGGACTACATAAAAGGTGATCTACAAAACCCAGGCATACCTTGGACCCATTTTGCCCCAGGCTAAACCTCCAGTGTTAAACAACCATAAGGTCAAAAGCTCCATTTGATTTTCATATACTCCCAAACAGGAATCACTCCTGTGAGGATGCAGAGACAAACATGTAGATCAAGATGCAATAGTTGAGGTTTCCTTGGTTTTATGGCTCTTCAAGGGCTATGGTCATCCTTCATCTTCATGTCCCATTAAATAATATAGTGCCAAACAAAGAAATGAACGAATTATCATCCTAGCCTCTGCACACACAACCTTCCTCGAACCTTTCAAATTGAAATAATCCAACTTCCAATAACTAGCTCTGACAGAAGCGGTGGTCCTTAATGAGTAGTCCTTATAAGCTAGCCAGGTCCTGTGCTGTCAACTTCACTTTGAGAGGTTGAGTGGCTTACCAAAGTTTACACATCTAGAGACGAGCACACACAGCTTTCAAACCTGGATCACGACAAAGTCTGTGCTTATCATAACCACCACTCTACAGCCCCCCAGAGAGAGAAAATAGGGGGAGAATGAGAGTGAACACCCATGCAGATAAAGAGGGTTTCTGGATTCATGGACAATTCCTCTAGCCCAATGTCCCCTACATTATCTATCCGTACAGTCTTTTGATAAAGGTAAAAACTATTTGGTCACTAGGTAAGGGGCAAACCCAAAAGAGGAAATCAATTAAAGATGCAAGGCAAAGTGGGAAGCCCATTAGAATAAGTTTTTTAATAAAACTTGAAGCATGTGGTTGATGAGATATGTGAATGTCGCTCCTATCCTAGAATAGGACCACTTATTGGTACAGGCGATGTTTTATATGATCATATCAGTTACAGCATGGATTAAAAACAGAAATGCAAAGCTGGGCAGCTGAAATTTGAGCAATAAAAATAAATGTTAAAATGTCATTAGGACATGTGAATGTACTTAATGCTATTGAATTGTACACTCAAAAATCATTAAAATGGCAAATTTTATTATATGTATTTTACCATAATTATTTAAGTGTTACTAGGAAATATAAAATGCTATATATGTGAATGTACTGGAAACTGAACACACGTAACTATTACAAAATAACAAGTTTGAGTTAAGTTTGCTATGTATTCCTTTACTCAGAAGATGAAAGGGACACACAGCCCTAAATTTATGCATACATCTTTAATCATTTTGGAGTTGTGATTCTTTAAAATGGACTTTGGAAAGTGCAAAGTGCATGGAAACACTCTGAAAGCATGCATCCTATGTCACGTAATGAAAAACCTTAACATTATAATTTCATCATAAACGCACATATTGAAAATTTTAAATGGTATGTGAGATTCAACTATGAATAAACAACTTTTTTTTTTTTTTGAGACAGAGTCTTGCTTTGTTGCCCAGGCTAGAGTGAGTGCCGTGGCGTCAGCCTAGCTCACAGCAACCTCAAACTCCTGGGCTCAAGCGATCCTTCTGTCTCAGCCTCCCAAGTAGCTGGGACTACAGGCATGCGCCACCATGCCCGGCTAATTTTTTATATATATATCAGTTGGCCAATTAATTTCTTTCTATTTATAGTAGAGACGGGGTCTCGCTCAGGCTGGTTTTGAACTCCTGACCTTGAGCAATCCGCCCGCCTCGGCCTCCCAAGAGCTAGGATTACAGGCGTGAGCCACAGCGCCCGGCCGAATAAACAACTTTTAAAACAAATGAAAACCATACTATTGTTCCCAATGAGTGTTGCTTTCACAGCACTTACTTAGGACAGGATGGACCTGCATACTTTCCGATGATGTTTTTATTGCCCAAGATATATATATATTTTTTAATTTTTTTCTTTTTCTTTTAACTTCAACAAGCATCAGAAATCCCAAGATATTTCTCAAAGTTCTTTGGGGCATTTCCTTCATATCCAATTTGCAGTTCACTCAAGAAAGCAGGCTTGTCCCCATATGGTTACACACCATTTTGTATCTAAAATCATATTACCTGGCTTGATCGTCCACCTTATTTACCAGCTTCACTTCAAACAACTCTTGCCAATTTCCAGAAGTCAAATTCATCCTAAAACGGGTGAAGTCCCTATCTGTAATGGAGGTATTTGAGACAAGTATGACAAGTTCTAATGAGTTCTAAAACATTTGGAACAATGACAGTACTGTATACAAGTTCCAAAAATAATGACTTTGAAACCTTTAATTTACAATATTTAATTTACTTTGCAGGATTCCTGAACAGACTCATTCCTTCAAAGTTATTCCCTGAAAATCTGCTATCCACAGAAGTCAAAAGCAGTAGCTGTTCTTGGCTGAGATGTTAGTAATGAAAGCACTGATTGGATTAGCTCTGTCCTCCAAGCTTCCTAGCTACCAATAAGAAATCCAAAAAGACAGAAGACAGAGGTCTTTCACATTCCCTTCCACCTCCAATCCCCATCTCTCTATTCCCCACCCTTCCAACCTTTTTCTTTTCTCATGCCCAGGGAGGGACGCTAATCATTGCCACTTTCAGTGGGGCCATCGTCACCCTTTCTGCCATCAATGTAGGCAAGAGCATCATGTTTGCCATGACACCAACCTTGCTGGCCACCTCCTTCCTGATGCCCCTTATTGGCTTCCTGCTGGGCTACCTTCTCTCTGCTCTCTTCTGCCTCAATGGACGGTAGGTATTATTTTAGGCGCCACTCTGCCATGGGCTTTATTCTTGTCCTAGCCTCTCAGGAAAAGGATAAGGAGCTAGGAACCCAAGATCTGGGCAAGGCATTTTCCTAGCAATATGTTCAAATGCACCAGCTAAACCCTATCATTCAAACAGCAACAGCTAATGACAAAGTACCCCCAGACACACCCAATGTAGACACCATCTCCTGCCCAACTCTTTGATAGTTCGTGGCACTGAGGTAGTTTCATGTCATCATAAGAGGTGTGATACTCCTCCTCTCCCACTTTTCTTCCTTCCTTTTCTGCCTAGGCTTTAATCCTGACAAGGACACCATTGGGTAACTGCTCTAAATGGCACTGAGATCTGAAGTAGCAGTGGATCTTGCCTAAAGTGTAATCCAATTCACACACACAGCTCCTGCTTTAGAAAACAGTTTGAGGACATAGTGGGGACCATCAGGCACCCTCCTGTCTACACAGACTAGTACAAGGACTAGTAAACAAATACTGATGGAGGAGTCTAAACATTAGTAGTACCCCACCCCTGAAAAAAAACACCCTGAATTTCAAAAATACAATTAAAAAGATAATTATCTGTCTTTAAAGCCAATGTAATTTAATAAAGAATGAATTCCTATAGGATGTAACCCATGATATAGTGAGCCAAAAGGCTGCCAGCAACCACTTAGTGATTTTGACTACTTGATAACCAAATTACTTCATAGCCAATTGTAAAGTGAGAGAGAACCTACATTTGCTAATATGAATTCCAACAGAGGTTGTACATTTTCCTAGGGTGTAAATCACTCTCCCTAGGAATTAGAAAAGGTTTCAAAAAGGGGCCCTCCATTCATGGGAATTTAGAGGCAGTTGAAGGATTTGGTTAAGTGGTTAGGAAGAACATATCGATGTTTGGAGTTATAAAGAAATGAAATGTGTTATAAAGGTTGAGTTTCCTGGTTCAAGGAAAACAAAAAAAACATTAGGAGTTAAAGTATACTTTGAGGAAGGGACTCTGGTTATATTTTGAAGGTATCAATCTTCACCAAAACAGGGTGATGGAGATGATAATGGCCACAGTGCCTAGTTCCATCACAGTAGTCTCCTCATAATAAATGTGCTGTGATGTCTCTCAGGGTACTTTTTAATAGATAACTATTTTAATACACTAAGTTATAATTCAATGAATTATATCTATATTCATTAAATGTAAATATCCCACCCTTTAATCCATAAAATATAAAGCAAAACCTAAGAGAATGTGTTCCAAAGATTGATAATGGAGCTCAATCAAGTTTGGGTTTTTTTGTTGTTTTATCACATGCTTGTGATTATTAAATGCCTAAGCCAGAAACTTGGAAACAGAATAAGATCCCAGACATTTCACACAAACTATCTTCTGCTGTACGTTGAAAGTATAATTGTCCCATTAGCCCAACATAACAAGCTAGTGAATGATACTGGCTCACACCTTCCTTTCATCCTTCAACAGCCAAACATTTTTCCAAACTTTGGCAATCTTGCAAGAGCAGAAAAGTTATAGATTTCCAAGCTACTCTTAAAACCTCTCATAAAACTTCCTGACATGAACCAACAGGTCACCATCCCTTCAGAGCTTGATTAGTCTCAATGAGTCTACTTGACTTTCTTTGAACCCACGAGCAACCCACACACCTGGCTCCCTTCCATCTTCCTATGTCGGGACTGTTCAGTGGATCCTGGAATATCTGGGAGGGAAGAGAAGTGCAAGCAAAGTGGCTCCCCCATGTTCCTTCTGTAAGGGCTTACAGGGTTTTTACTGTCCCAACTCCACAGATGCAGACGCACTGTCAGCATGGAGACCGGATGCCAAAATATTCAACTCTGTGCCACCATCCTCAATGTGACCTTTCCCCCTGAAGTCATTGGACCACTTTTCTTTTTTCCTCTCCTCTACATGATTTTCCAGCTTGGAGAAGGGCTTCTCCTCATTGCCATCTTTCGGTGCTATGAGAAAATCAAGACTCCCAAGGGTAAGTACTGAATTATCCCCCTCTTCAAATTCCGCCCCAAATTGGACCTGTCTGCCAACAAGTTTCTAGTAGAGACTTTTTGGATGGAGCATTAACTCTTACCAAGTCATTAAAAACCAGGTAGCACCAAGAAGTATGCAAGAAACCTTGAAGAGCCAAGGCTACTTCCATCAACTGCATTCCATTTCTGCCTTCTAGCTAGGAAAATCAAATGGTGGGTGTAGTTTACCTCATAGAACTGAGGCAATATGGGCTGTTGTGAGGAGACACCATTTCCTCAGCATGAGGAAACAGGACAGAACTGCCCTGGACATGTGACAGTCCTGAGATAAGAGATGTGTGAATGGACTCAACCACAAGAATTCATGAAGTTTGAAGTTTTTTAGGATGAGGTTCTCATGTTATGGAACCAGGTTAGAGCTCCAGGATCTCTGGCATCCCCAAGAGGAAAAACATTAAAGCAATGCAGTCTAATATAACCCACAATCCAAAGAGGATTCTTCAACTCTGGTTACACAGTAAACTTACACATAAACACTTATAAAACAGTGACCACAACTATAATAAACTTGATTCGTATGATTTATACTTTAATATACTACTGGATTAATACAGCAACTCTTTTCTAAAATGGTCACAGCATTACCTTCAAAATATAATCAAACCTGAAGACCAGAGTCCCTTCCTCAAAGTATACTTTAACTCCAAGTTTTTTTTTTCTTGAACCAAGAAGCTCAACCTTTATAACACATTTCATTACTTTGTAACTCCAAACATCAATATTCTTCCTAACCACTTACCCACATCCTTCAACTGCCTCTTGATCCCCATGAATGGAGGGCCTGGGCTCCTCTTTGAAACCTTTTCTAGTTCCTAAGGATGGTGATTTACACCCTCGGAAAATATACAACCTCTGTTGGAACTCATATTAGCAAATGTAGTTTTTCTCTCTCTCCCTTTACAATTAGCTATGAAGTAACTTGATTATCAAGCAGCCAAAATGAAACCAACGGCTGACATAAAATGGCTGAACCTTTTAAAGCTTTAGTTCCAAACTACAGTGGAGTTGTGTAAAAGAATTTGTTCTCAAGCTTTTCTCAGAACAACTCAAGAGATTTGTTGCCCATGAGGTTTCTATCCTCTTGGGGGAAAAAAAAAAAAAAACCACGAAGGAGAAATTTCTAGACCAACCAACCAGGTTCAGGTTTGAGTACCAGAAAGGCCTGGAATGCCCTCAGGGGGCAATACGCCAATTTTTTAGCCCTATAAAAAATTTCCAGGCTGCGAGTGGTGGCTCACACCTGTAATTCTAGCACTCTGGAAAGCTGATGCCAGAGGACTGCTTGAGGCCAGGACTTTGAGATCAGTCTGGGCAACAAAGCTAGGCCCTGTTCTCTACAAAAAAATTCAAATTTAGCCGGTGGTTACAGTGGCACACACCTGCAGTTTCAGCTACTTGGCTTAGGTGGGAGGATTGTTTGAGCCCAAGAGTTCCAGACTGCAGCGAATTATGATGGCACCACTGCACTCCAGCCTGGGTTGACAAAGATTCTGATATTTAAAAAAAACTTTCCTCATAATGTTCTCAAAAAACCCCAGTGGCAAAATCAAGTCAAAGCAACTTACCTTTGGAGCTTATGGCCCCAAACAGCTATTCTCAGGGTGAAGAATCTGTCACAAGTTTTTCTTTTTTGATTTCTATACCCTTCTACAGACAGAAGAGAGGTGGAGGACCTGGCCTCTTACCTCCAAAGCTGCTCATCACTTCTACATGGGCAGGAAAAGGAACAGATCAAAGTTGGGGACAGACAGGACAGGGAGACGTTTGCAAACTCTCCTGGCTAGACGTTCCTAAAGCTGTTTCCTCTCTTCTCCTCCTAACTAAGTATAAATCATCCTTGCATAGTAAACCCACCTCCCCCATTGTTTTACTGAATGTACAAAGGCAGCAGAGATAATGAAGGCTCAATACTCTTACTTAGGCCTTTTATTACTAGTCCTATCACTAGGAAGGCTGGGAGAAAAGCCAAGTTTAAGAGTATATACCAGGAAAGACAAGTGGGAAGGGAAAAAAAAATACACACATATATGTGTATATAGCACGCCCTACAGATAAATTGGTGTTCTTACATTTTCTAGATTGAACAAGCTTTTAACTACTCTTTTTGTTCTCCCTCTACATCTATGACTCTTTTTAACTTTACAGATAAAACAAAAATGATGTACACAGCTACCACAAATGAAGAACAACTCCAGCAGTTCTGAAAAATGGGACCAACAAAATAGAAGATTGCTCCCCTAGCACATTGTACTCCTCCCTCCACCTGGACTCTGGTCATAAAGCAATTCAGAAAACCAGTGTGGTAATATTACAGAGGAACAACAAAACACCAGTCTTGCCTGAGTCTCCAGGAAACCTATCAGAATCGTCAAGCTTTGCCTGGGAAGACAGAGAGGATGTCTACCTGAGAAGCCTCACCTACTCCCAGCCTACGATTTACTACTCATTTAAAAAATAAAAGACTTGCTCAGTGACTATAAACTCTGAAGGCAGAAACCAAATCAGGATGACTTTGACAACAACTTCAGGCTGGCTAATACTGCCTTCAGAGATACATTTCAAACAGGAAACTCTAGGGTTCACCAGATGAAAATAAACCTAGTCCCTTCAAATAAATTAACAAGTATAACATAAACTCCTTCGGACTTCAGCCTCATATTAATAATCAGTTTCGCAATCTCATGGTTTAAGTTCCAGTCTTACAAACTGCCAGGAAGTCACCTTTACACAAAGATACCAAAACCCTTTCAACCCTCCCCACAAATGGCAATTCCCACTCTGAAACACTTTTGGGAAGCCAAAAAAGCTAAATTTTTCTACTGTTTCTAATTCTGCCTTTCTCAAAATCCCTGAACAGCTGAGGGCATGAGAGTCTATGTCAAGAGAAAAGGTGGATTTGGGGTCCTAGAACCAGACTTCCTGGATTCCAGTACCAATTTACCACTTAACTTGTTCTTTGAGAAGTTCCATAGTTCCTTCCTGTTAAATGGTCATAGTCTTAACAATTCAGTTAATATACAGATAAGACACTTAAAACAGCATCTGGCTAATATAATCATGTTAAAAAGATGTTATTCACTGTTACCAACTTATCTAGCCTAGCACCCTAAAAAAAAGACAACTAAGAATATCTGATCAGTCTTTGAGATTTCTGTAAAGTGCGTTTCCTGCACTTACCGGGCAAGGTTTTGAGGGCTCAAGTACAGAGGACTCTTAACACTTGACTAAGAATTAGGACCGCAGTTTCCACTACTGTTTCCCCTTAACCATGTTGTCACATCTATGTCTCAAGGACTAAAAGCAGCAGAATGTGAAAACCCATTAATCATTCATATTCACTGACAAAAAGCTCTGTATCATCTGACCATCAAAACTGTGTAACTTTCAGGGAAAGCAAGAAACTCATTAAATTTTATAACTTGCTTCCCAAATATACTGTCCTTCACTTGGCTCTGGAAGTTTAACTCAATGCCAGCAGAGATAATAAAGGAAAAGCACAGGAGAACACAGACACAAGGGAAACTACCAAATAACTTAGTCACTATTAACAAGTTCACCGACGTCTTTGCTTATCTTTTGACCAGCCTAAAACTGCCAAAAATACTACTTAAAAAAAATCGTAAAACCCATAAATTCCAGGTGTTGTATTTTATATGTATGTAGATGGAGATGAAGAATAAATAGCATAGGATTTCATCAGAAAACCAGACAAAAAGCAGTTTTATAATATTTTATTATCAATAACAAACAGCTGCTTTTTATGTGTCTGTCCTGCAGCTGTTTTTTAAAAGGGTGAGTGGGAGGACACCCTTGACCCTAAACAAAGAAAACTCAAATTAAGCCTTTATATACAAGCAAATTTAGAGCTCTTTTACGTATCCAAAGCTATTAATTAGTTTAACTGAGGCATTAAACTAATTCAGAATTAACACATTTGAATAATCAGGAAATTAAAATGTTCAAATTTTTTTCTAGTACAAAAAAATTAAATTTGCTTTAGTTATAAAAGAGCTCTTGGCAATATACACAAACTATATACTTCAGACATTCACAAAAATGTGAGCAGAAGGCTTATCAAAAGACATTTAATACAATTAGTTTTCAACAACCCCTTGGTGGTCCACATCTACAAAGATATCCACCCAACCCAACCCCCCTCCAAACCCCACCCCCACAGAAAAGCACATACTTACCAGAACTTTTAGCAAGTATGGTTTGGGAATTTGTTTGTTTTTAAAAAAGGCCCCCAGGGCAAGTTATTTACAGTTTTAATTGCCACTGTCAACTGATCTGGACCTTGATCGGGACCGGGACCTCTGGCGATCCACAGAAGCTGGAGACTTAGATCTACTTGAAGAACCACGTTTCTGGCTCTTCTCAGGCACGGGAGACCTACTAACAGAACGGGACTTGCTCCGGCTCCGGCTCCTGCTCCTTGACCGGCTATAAGATTTCCGACTACGGGAACGAGATCGGCTACGAGACCTAGAGGAACTTCTGGTCCGGGATCGAGACCTGCTTCTTGACCTACTAGGAAAAGGGAGAGAGAAGGAAATCAGCCTACGTGACAAACCCTACAAATCCATCCAATAAAACTTTTGTCTTAAAAATGACAGATACCTGTGCCTTTTGCTGCCTTCAATTAATTTTATTTTTCTCCCATTTATTTCCTTTCCAGAAAGTTTTTCAATAGCATTCTTTAAGTCACCGTAAGAGGCAAACTCAACCACCCTACAGTGGGAAAAAAATGTTTTTAAAGTTTACACATCCTGTAGTCTCTCGCACTGGTATAACAGTCTAGATAAATTGTTTCTGTGTTCGCTTTGTATTTGCTACATTCCCATTTCTTTATGGATAACACAGCATTAGAAAGCAAAGTTTTGGTACTACTGTGTTTCCCCCAAAAATAAGACAGTGTCTTATATTTAGTTTAGGTGTTTATTTTCAGGGGATGTGTCATTTTTCTTAAGTACGGTATAACAATCCACATTTATTCAAATATAGTTAGGTCATCTTCTTCTGGAACATCATCATAGTAAAATGGCAGCCACAGCTTTACTTCTTCCCCCTGGGGACACACAATACCTAAAGCGGAGCGTCCCGCTTCCTCACTTCACTGAGGAGACTTTCCCCTTAACGTCTCAGCTTGCAGCATACACAGGATGGCCTTGTTGGTGGGGCTGCCCGCACCTTTCTGGTCACCTCTGGGATAGTAGCTGTCACGATGGGGCAGACGAGAAGGGCTTGCTCGTGGTCTTTACTGCTCCACAACAAAATGCATGGGTTGTGCAGATACGCTGTGTAGCCACGCCCATCACTAGGTCTTATTTAGGGGGCAGGGCTTATATGGTGCAAATGGTTAGAAATCCTGCTAGGGCTTACTTTATGGGTAGGTCTTATTTTCAGAGAAACACGGTATTACATCTTAAGCCAGATAATTCTTTGTGGTGAGATGCTTAGCAGCAGGCCTAGCCTCTACCCACTAGATGCCAGCAGCACCCTCAACCAGTTCTGACAACCAAACATGTCTCCCAATATTACCAAATATCTCCTGGGGAGCAAAACTGTCCCTGGAGAACTATTACATTTCAGCATATTCAAATCTTAAATCTTGAGAAATGTTTACAGTAAAATTTTCAGGACATTTTAAAAGGTTTTCACGACCTCCAGTACATACTCACCCTTCATTTAATTTAGGTCGATGTGCATCCGCAAAGGTTACTTCCCCAGCTTGTCTCATGAAATCTTTGAGATCCTTAACACAAGATAATTGTGTTAAGCAGAGAAGAGGAAAGGTGACACACAAACAACCACATGGTATAAAAACAAGACTACTGAAAGAGAAGATGTTAGATAAAGTACAAACATGGTATGTACCACACTTGTATTCTATCAGAAATCAAAAATTATCTATGTCAGGGCACGAAATAAGCAAATAGCATATTGCTTTTAAGCAAATGCTAGAGGGAATTCATATTTTAACATTAAAGTAGTATTAGTCTATATTGAGCCCAGTACAAAAGGAAAAAACAAACAAACAAAAAAAAACAAAACAAAAAAGAGAAACAGTACATATTTTTAAAGTAAAGACTAAAGTAGAAGTTTTATATTTAAAAAACAGAACATTTACAAGACACCAGTTATTTTGTGCCCCATATGTCATTAAAAAAGTTTACTTTACCTTTATCATTATTTCCCTAGGCTAGTCAAGCAGCAAACCATTAATCGGTCGGAGAAACCTTCATGACATATGCCCGACTGGCTCTTCGCCACCCACTTGAAGGACACTACCCAATCGATGGAAGCCTTTAATCGCACAGCCCTCCCTATTAGCAGACTACTGGCGGATGCAGACATGTTCTACTCTTGAGCAGTTACCAAGGACCACTTTACTGCGATCAGGATTCCAACGACCACCTAATTTCGTATCTTTCAACTCTTTTCCACCAGGACCTCTTATTCGGAAGCGTTACAGGAAGACAGCTCTCAACTTAGGGATCAGATCACGTTATCAGCGCTCTGGGATCGCTGCAACCTGGCACTTCAAGTAAGTGCACCGATTACGTCTAGACCGGCAAACACAGATCTAGAGGTGGCCAATTGATCACTGTAGGAGCTGACTGGCAAAGTCAACCAGGCCCAACCAAGAGTGACCAAGACAACGATTAGGATAACCCACAGGCACTCCTCGTCATAAGGCCAACGACACAGATAGGCTGGCAAATAAAGGGTTTAATATTTGGTTAAAATTGATTTTAAAGAACAAGAAAAATATCCTCAAAAACATTTACATTTGATCACTAATATTAAAGTTTGTAATATCCCCCAATTACATTTAATTAAATTTTTAAAATTACAATTAAACCCATTAATTTAATAATTAAAGATAAAACTACTTTTAATAAAATATAATAAAACATTAGCTACCCATTAACTTTTTTAAAAATCCACATTAAAATAACTCAAAACTGTATTTCAACAAACCTGCCAGCTGACTCTTGAGGATAAATTCTCAACTATAAGCCGATTTTCTGTTCTTACAGGTGGAGCATTTCTAAGGAAGAAAATGAGTATTCACAATGGAAGAAATGCAGTGATGTGCACTTCTTGTGTATTCAACTGTGGGCAAGTTCAAGCAATCCAACATGACAAGTCATTCAAATGACTTCCATCAACAGTTTCTGTGTTATTCTATATAACTTATATGGATTCATCCAGAATAGTGGGCTAACATGGGAATAACAAAACATAATACATAGTAAGTCCCAGAATCATTTATTCCTGTTAATTCCTGAACCATAAATACTGCCCATAAGATTATGATTGTTCAAAGCAGCCATCCACCTATCACATACCGTCTATCATTTCGAGGTCTGCGACTACTAAAACGATCAGAGTATCGTCCTCTACCTCTTCCACCTCGAGACCGAGCCCGAGCATGTTCAATAGTAACCCTTTCACTACAGAGTTCTTTTCCATCAAGTTCATATACAGCATCATCCGCATCCCTCGGATCCTCAAATTCCACAAAACCAAAGCCTCTTTTCAGATCAATATCCCTTATTCGTCCATAACCCTTGAAAAATCTTTCCACGTCTTTCTCCCTGGCCGCCGGATTTAGCCTCCCGATGAATACTCGACAGCCACTCATGATGTCCGGCTAGTATTTCCTGTTAGAAAATAATTCAATCGAGACAATACCAAATGACTGTCACAAAGGAATGCCTGGTTAAGGGATCAAAAGCATACATGGCACAAAATGTTTACCCAGTGACGTTACAAACAAGACTGCCAAGAGTGCCTCTCATGAGGCCAGGTCCCTTGCACACAAAATTAAAACCTGGCTCCCAACACGACCCCTCCCTAGGCCCAGACAGCAGCAACCGCAACGCCCACTGCCACCTCTCTAACTGCGCAGCCGCACACTGTCCGCGGCTCTCGGGCCCCCTCCCATCTGCCGCAGTTAGGAAAGGCCGAGAAGTGCGGGCGGAGCCGACCCCGCCCTCCGCAAGGCCAACCCAATGGCGGCCGGCCGCGCACGCGTCCCCGCCTCCGGGGCGCGTCACAGCGGGTGGAAGCCGGAATCTCGCGACGCCACGGCCGCGCCTGCGCAAGCGTCGGCGGGCGGGCACTCAGCAGCCACAAAATGGCGGCCGCGGAGTCAGCGGCGGGGGAGAGCTGCGCGTGCCAAACCCCGTTCTCCCTCCGCCGCCCCCGACTCCACCGTTCCGAAGTCACTGTGCCCGCACGCAAAAAGCCCTAACCGCACCCCGAGCAGGCAGAGGGCGCCCGGCCCTCTTTTCGAGGGGTCCGGATGACGAGATAAAAAAGTGGCAGGGAGGGGCACGCAACCCCTCTGTGTACAAACAACCGTAACCGCGACCGCCCTTCCACCTTCAGTACCCCTCACACAATGCCCAAAGGGAGACGTGCCCCAGCGCCCACCTCGAGTCAACTGCGTTCATTAGACGCCGTCCTCCGCAAAGAGAGCAGCCCCGGCCACTCACGATCTGAGCGGCCATGAAGAAGCCTCGATCCGAGAAGCCTCGCCCTCAAAGTGAGCCACTCACCTACCGGACAGGATCTTTGGCGGCTGAGACCCAGAGAGGTCCGTAGTCTGCGACGGAGTCGTCTGCCTCCACACAGACCAGGACTTAACTCCTCTACGTCTCTCCACAACTGACGCACTTAGCAGTCTGGCGTGCCACAAAATGGAGGGCGCGTCCCTGCGTCACTTCCGGGACCGCCCCTGGGACCTGGGCGTCCACCTCTTAGGATGCAGGGACGAAAGTTTCAGCGGTGCTGGAGCTTTCTTACCGTGACCCGGAGAGCAACCCTCGGCCTGCGGTGGGTGGCACTGGGGGCGGGAACTGGCGTGGGCGCGGCCGGCAGGCGCCCGGCGCTGGGGGTGCTGCGGTTGAAGATGTTCGCTCCTTCTAGGCCAAAGGATTCGGTTGATCATCTCGCCCACAGGACTCACCTAAGACAGACAAGTGACATGTTTTCTGTATCTAAAGTTTTTCTTAGATACCCATAAAATTACTGGTTGAAAGAAACTCACTCTGGCTTTGCAGAAATACCTGATTGTCTCTGATCTGCTGTATGCACTTAAAGGTTGCTCTTAAGGCAAGGGGCTCTTGATGCTCAAGTGAATTCCTTTTTTTACCATGCCATAGATGTGTGTTTGGTTGTAGTGACAAGACTGAGAAACTGAAATTTTTTTTTTTCTTTTTTGTTTTTTTTGGGACCTCTAAACATAAGAAGAAATATTTTTTAAATGGAAGGTTTTTGCGTGAAATTGGGACTGCAGCTAGAAAGCCATCTTGAATTGAAGCCGAAATGCAGATTTCTGCATTTCCACATCCTGGGACTGAGGTGGCTAGAAGAGGTTTTAAGCTGCTTTTAAGTCTAAACGGTATTTGGTTAATTCTCCTTGTTTGGGTTTCTGTCGTGTAACACTTGAAAGGCTACAGTTATTCAGAAACAGAGAATGTTGTGCTTCTGAAGTGGATGTGAAACACAGCCCTCCACATCCTTAACCTCCAGCGTTTTCCTAATAAGGTTGGTAGGCCTAGAAACTTAGGCTTAAAGAGAACGATGCTATAAAGTTTACTTTTCTTTAATACTTCTAGGTGGAACCCAAGGCACCCCATTTTGGAGAAGTACCCAGAATCTAGGGTTGCATGCTCACAAGTAGAATTACACAGAGATAAAGTAGTCCAGGAAAGAGGAGTGCAGGCAACCATACTCTAACTTCAGGGGCCCTTAAGAACTCTGGACTGGAAGTTGGATAATTTGTATGGGATGAGCTTGGCTATTCATGCTGTCAAATATGCCTCAGTGGGTACATGACAAAATTGTAAAGTTTGTATCTATGATGTGGGGAGTTAAGGGTGAATTTAAAAGAAGGTAGGTATTTGTTAAAGACAAAAAACTGTTACTTTTAGATGTTGGCCGAATAAACCTTGGCATTTTGTAATGCTCAAATTGTCCCAAGCCAGTTTTTATTTAATTATATTTGGTTAAAGAAAAAAATCTTCCAACTATTTTCTACATTTTGTGTTGACTATGAAGGCAACTGCTTGTGATTTCACTCACTACATGTTATTTTTGCTGCAATAAGAGAAAGTAAAGTGACAGAGGTTTTCTGGGGGTGAAAAACAAGAAAGGTGGTGCTGTACACCACCATGGAAAACGTTGCTACCTCCAGCCCATGGTGCTGTGCTTTTCCTCAGGATCAATTTTTTCATAAATCCTTTACTCTTGATTTATTTACTGTTACAAAGTTTGTGAGTTCCACAAAAGTAATTTTTCCTTGGTAGTGCCTAGTGACAATGTTTTAAAACACTTGTCTTCTGCAGTGTTTGTTTTTGCCAGGATGACTGCCTAATCTCTAGTCTTCTTACCAGACTGTTTCTTACCAACTTCTCTAATAAACACAAAGTTATCTTCCATAAGCCAAAATACTCTCCTTCCTATGTGATATCCTGCAATATTCTGTTTATACCCCTATAATTCCCTCATCACTGATTTATGTATGTTACTCATGTTTTCCAGAAATGCCTAGCACAGAAAATACTTAATATTTATAGACTTGGATTTGCATGAGCATTTTTCTCAGGTCGTCCTGTTCCTATATTAATGTTTCAACAAAATGGCTTGGCATCCTTTTCCTAAAACATCCCAGTGAATAGCACATCTTTAGTAAAGAAGAAAAGACGGACGGGCTGAGTACAGTGGCTCATGCCTATAATCTTAGCACTTAGGGAGGCTGAGGTGGAAGGATTGCTTGAAGCCAGGAATTCAAGACCAGCCCGGGAAGCATAGCAAGACTGCCTCTACAAAAAAATAGAAAAATTAGCCAAGTATGGTGGCTAGCACCTGTAGTCCCAGCTACTCAGGAGGCTGAGGTGGGAGGGTCTCTTGAGCCCAAGAGTTTGGGGCTGCAGTGAGCTATGATCATGCCACCACACTCCAGCCTGGGAGACAGACAGACCCTGTCTCTTAAAAAAGGAAAAGGAAAAAAAACAAAGAAAAGGAAAAAGATGCAGAGACATAGCAGATTAAACACAAAGTTTGTTGGTATGTCTGTTGGGGACTTTCAGCATAACCGTTTCACACATCACAACCCTGATTTCATCTAATTCAGGAATGAGCAAATTATGACCCACAGGCCTAATCCAGCCTCTCATCTACTTTTATATGGCAAGTGAATGGTTTACATTTGTAAATGGTTGGGGGAAACATAAGAAGACTATTTGGTGACATGAAAATTATATGAAATGCAAAGATCAGTGTATCTATAAATAAAGTTTTTTAAGAACACAGCCACTCCTGTTCATTTACTTATTGTCTGCATCTGCTGTCATGCTACGAAGGCAGGGCTTCAGTAACTGTGATAGAGACCATATGGCCCGCAAAGCCTAAAATATTTCCTATCTGGCCCTTTACAGAAAACATTTGGTTTTTAGGGGTAGGGGATGAGAGAGGTTGGTTAATGGGTACAAACTTAGACAGAAGGAATAAGATCTAATGTTGGAATAAGATCTAATGTTTGATAGCAGAGTAGGGTGACTATAGTTAACAACAATCTATTTTATATTTCAAAATAGCTAGAAGACTTAAAATGTTCCCAAATAATAGAAATGATAAATACACAAAGTGATGGATATCCTAAATACCCTAACTTGATCATTACACGTCCTCTGCATGTAACAAAATATTATATGTACTCCATAAGTATGTACAAATATGTATCAATTAAAAATTTAAAAAAATTTTCAACCCCTGAACTGACTAGACTTTAAACTGCTCTATGAGTACTCCACCCAACTCCCTTTGTCAGATAATAAAATTGTGAACAAGGAAACAGGGTTTTATCTTCATTTTTTAATAAAGCTTATTTGATTACAATTATAAAAAGAAATAGATATATGCTCATTATAAGAAAAATGTTCAACAGGAAAAATAATTGAAAGAAAACTATCCCATCTCACCAAATCAACCTCTCATTGTATTGTGAGCACTATATTTTATTCTTGTGTTTTCTTTGAGTGCTCAATATGTTTTCTTTTCCAATACAAAAGTTATATATCATCATTTTTTAACACATGGATATGAGGTTTTAGAAAAATCATCCATATTTCTAATTCCTAAAGGATAATTAGTATTTTTTAAAATTTCCCTTTAGGGTTTTTCTATAAGCACAATTGTATTTTCAAAATATGAATTATCCTCATGTATATAATTTGGTATTGTGAGAGTTTTTTAATTCATAAAATTTAATCATGTACATTTCCATGTTTCTTTATTTTGGTATATTTATGATCATAAGTGTATATTCAATTTTTACTGTTTTTCCCCTTAACTGTGTTTCCCCTTTGGAACACAGCTACGTGACTGGGGAAACTATTCATTCTGACCAGCTTTTCTGTTTTTCTGGAAATGTCCTAAATATCACCATATACTTAAAAATTCCTATCCAAAAATCCCAACACTAAGAAAAAATGTTGCTTTCTTGCTTCCTCCAGCTTGTAATTCTGGAGACTTTTTCAAAAGAGTAAGTATCCTCAACTAATTTTTCTTAGAAATAGATGTTCTTTAAAATGTTCAGTTTTTGACTCAGATTCATCCCTACATACCTATTTGACTTCTTTCAGTTGTTACATTCTGAATGTTTGTTGTTGAATTTAGTGCACAATATTTAAAATACCTATGGACCCGCTACTTTTAGTGCTGGACCAGTGTTTCTCAAGCCAGCTGCACATTAGAAACAGCTGGGATTTGAGCCTACCCAGGGATGCCAAAAAACACACCTGGCGCATGTTTATAACATTCTGCTGCCTGGGTCCCTACTGGCAGAAATTCTTATTTAATTGGTCTGGGGTGGGGCTCTAATTTGTTAGTAAGGGCCCCAGGTGATTCTAATACTCACCAGGGGCGAGAACTGCTCACCTGAATCTAGGAACTCTCTCTTTGTTCTCCATAAAATCCACCTGTTAGCTGGCTCTGTCTTCCTTCCTCCTCACTTAGGTTATAGCCAGACACATTTGGGACACAAACCATTCTAACATCAAGTTAATCTTAAATTCAGGGCACTTAAGCATATCCTCCTCACCTAGCTGCCATTCTCTGGGGCATTAAGTGGCAGGAACCATGCTAAGGACATAACAAACATCATCTCAGTCAATCCTCACTCCAGGCCAGACGAGGTGGCTCAACATCTGTAATCCTAGCACTCTGGGAAGCCAAGGCTGGAGGATGGCTCAAGATCAGGAGTTCAAGACCAGCCTGAACAAGAGCAAGACCTCATCTATACTAAAAACAGAAAAAAATTAGCTGGGCAACTAAAATTCGAAAAAAAATTAGCGGTGCGTGGTGGCACACTCCTATAGTCCCAGCTACTTGGTAGGCTGAGGCAGGAGGATCACTTGAGCCCAGGAGTTTAAGGTAGGTATGAGCTAGACTGATGCCATGGCACTCTAGCCCAGGCAACAGAACAAGACTCTGTCTCAAAAAAACAAAAAACAAAAAAACCCTCACCCCAGTCCTTCCATGGAAGTGTTATTTTAACATTTTTCAAATGAGGAAACTGAGATTGAGGCTTAGAGAGTCTAATGATCTTCCCAAACTACCCCACTTTTTGATTTTCCTGCCAAGGCCGTGTTCAGAAAAGCTGCAGCCTTGTCTTCCTGGTACTCCTTTCTATGCACTAGAGCAGCTCCAGAAATCCCCGAAACAGGAAGCACTTCTACTGAATTTGCAGAGTTCTGACCACCAAGGCCAGAGAAGTTTGGACAGGGTAGAAAATAGGCAGAGCATCTCTGCATGGGACTTGCACTCAGGAGAAATAGGGCAGTACCTACAGGGGGCAGTGGGCTCCTGAGAATATTTTCTTAGGCAGGGATATAAAGTAATTCCCACTAATTCAGACAAAACTTAGAAATTCTTTACAAATCTGCAGCCTAGTGTGTATCTGATATCAGCCTGTGTCATGAA